TAAAATGTATCTTTCGAAAAAAAGAAATGCAAAAAAGTCCAAAGTCCAGCAGCAGCAGCAGGCAGGTGCAGCAGCAGGGCTTGCTGCGATAGTGTGTACAACCGAGCTTTGGGCCTGGGGAGCTGCTTGCAGCTCTTTCTGCTTCGCAAAACCCAAAACTTTAAATTAAATTAAATACTTTTAATTTATTTAAAGGCCTTTTCAGCGATTGGCTAGCTGCGGCTGGCCCTGGCGCCTCTCCAGTGTACGTACTCGGCGCGCGCCTCTCCAGTGTACGTACTCAGGCATGCACTGCTGCTGCTGCTGCAGCAGCTCAATCTTCTTTGCCTCTAGCAGCAAAGTAATATACTTACTTTTTGTCCTTTTCTTTATCATAAAGTTATAAATAGCAGCAAATATATTAGCTGGGCCGTGCAGTGAGCTGCAGGCTGCAGCGCTGCAGCCGTTCAATGATCTGCCTCTCGTGAATTCCCCCGACGCCGCTGGCTCATTGAGTTATTCCTCCAAGTTTGAAACAGATTTTAATTTAAAATAAATATATTCAACAAGTTAATTAAATTTATTTACTGACGCAAACAAACGCTGCGTTTGGAGGCAGCATCGACCCGCCAGCGCAGCCCAGAGAGCCTCGCGGCAGCGCCAGGCTAGTCGGGGCGTGCAGAAACGCAAATAAGCAGTAAAAAGTGTTATTTCAAGGAGAAATTGATTTTAAAAAACATAAAAGAAGAGTTATTTATTCGAAGTTAGCATTTAAAAGCGAAAGAAAAGAAAGCGGCCGCTGCATCGGCGGCGTCGAGCCACTAAAAAGTACACCAGCGGACCTATGCGGTCAGCCACTGCGACTTGAGGCTGTGGGAGGCTTGGAATGGCAAGTTTGTCTTTTTCGGTGCTTTTTTGCTCTACTTTAGACTACAAAATGCATTTCAGACTTTAAAGAAATAGTCTGGGCTTTTGAAACCTTTTTTTCGGGTTCTGAGTTTTCCGTTCGAGCTGTCGCTACACCCCAGCGCAGCGCAGGGAGCCACGCAGCGCAGCGCTTCCTCACTGCTACCTGGCTCAGTTTGGGACAATTTTGTGTCTTTTTCTTCTTTTTTTTCGCTAAATAGGACTTATTTCTCGAAGTTTTTGCATCTGTGAGCTGCTTTCCAGCTCAAATCCACCCGCTTAGCCACAATGGCTGCCGAAGAAGTCAAAACGGCCGCGGGCCTCAAGAAGAAGGTCTCTGACGTCCATGTGTTCGACCAGTCCGGCGCCGTGTTTAAGGTTAGCTGACTAAACTGCATCTGCTGTTCCCAGTGCATCAATTCCTTTCGAATTTTGTGGCTGCTTTTCCGGGTTTCTTCAGCAGCAGCAGCAGGTGCTGCTGCTGCTGCTCGCGCTGCAGCAGCAGCAGCAGCGCCGCTCCAGCGAACAGCGTTCGTCCTCGCGGAGCTGTACGTACACTCCGACACAGAAACAGCGCCACCCAACACAACTCGGCCGCTATCGCCCTCAAGTGCTTCTAGAGCAGCAGCAGCAGCTTCAGCAGCAGCAAAAACAGCAGCAGCAGCTCGACTGCAGCAGCTGCAGTCCCGAGTAGACACGAATGCACCTAGATAGGCGTGGCTGTGCGAATAGTTGCAGCAGCGGGCTGGGGGCGGCAGCAGCAGCAGCAGCAACAGCAGCAGCTGGGGCTGGCAGGAGCACAGAGTTGTCCGTTTCCCGCTGCATCTCTCGTGTGTATGACTTTTGGCTGTACGGGAGCGCAGCAGCAGCGCCGGTGCAGCAGCAGCTGCTGCTGGCGCGTGCTGTTGTTCTCGTGTGAACTGGCTTATCAGTCTGCTGCTTCCTGTGCCGTTCGTGCTGCCTCTGTCTAAGAATTAAAAGTACTGTATTTAATTTGAGTTGAGAATGGGAGGGGCCAGAGCACCTGCAGCAGCACGGGAGCGCACTACCGAGTTGGCTTCCCGAGTGTGTCTGCTGCTGCCAGCAGCAGCAGCAGCAGCAGCAGCAGCACGTGCCGCTGCGCGTGGCAGCACCTCCACGGGCGCACCTGCTTAGCTGCACGACCGGCGGGCGCACTCGCCGGCGTCGAAGCTCCCCCGCCCGCAGCCGGCGCCCGCTGGCGCCGCACGTGCTGCTGCTGCCGCCGCACCTGCTGCTGCTGCCGCCGCACCTGCTGCTGCCGCTGCTGCTGCTGCGCGCAGGGCTTCCAAATATGGACGGACCTGGCGCCGGCAGTGCGCGAACAGCCCAACCTGATGTTCGCGAAGTGCGCCGTGCAGAGCGGGTCGAGCAAAGAGGTGCTGGTGGTGCAGCAGGTGGAGCCCGCGGGCGGCGGCGAGACCTTCGAAGTCCCGCAGGCGCACGCGTGGAACGTCAACAGCGCCATCGACCCCATGACGTACGGCGACATTGGGATGCTGCCGCACACGAACATTCCGTGCGTGCTGGACTTCCTGCGGCACCGGTACCTGCGGAACCAGATCTACACGTGCGCGGACCCGCTGGTGGTGGCCATCAACCCTTTCAAGGACTTGGGCAACACCACCAAGGAGTGGATCTGCAGGTACCGCGACGCCGACGACTTCACCAAGTTGCCGCCGCACGTCTTCTACACGGCCCGCGTCGCCCTCGACAACCTCCACGGGGTCAACAAGTCCCAGACCATCATCGTTTCAGGTCCTCGCTGCGCCCTGCGCCCCAAACCCTAACCCCAAGCCCTAAACCCTTTTCGAGGCGGCGCACTGCGGCGGGCGCGCCGCGCGGCGCGCTGCTGCGCGGGGCGGCCTTGTGGTGGCCCGTGGGATCTGCATGCAGATCGTGGACTTCTGCATGTGCATGCATGTACTTACAGATATCCACATGTATTTCTTTATTTATTTGGCTATTTACTGTAAGAAGACGTGTATCTGTGGGGAGCTGGGGCTACGACGGGCTTTACTATTGGTTTATTCGCCAGATGTTTTTGCACTTGCGTCGCAGGGGAGTCGGGTGCGGGCAAGACGGAAGCAACGAAGCAAGTCATGCGGTACTTCGCTGCTGCGAAGGGGGGGGCGATGGACATGCGCATTCAAAACGCCATAATGGCTGCGAATCCGGTGTTGGAAGCTTTTGGAAACGCAAAGACAATTCGCAACAACAACTCCTCGCGCTTCGGGCGCTTCATGCAGCTGGACGTCGCGAAGGAGGGTGGCATTCGCTACGGGAGCGTGGTGGCGTTTTTGCTGGAGAAGTCGCGGGTGTTGACGCAGGACGAGCAAGAAAGGTCTTACCACATTTTCTACCAACTCTGCAAAGGCGCTGACAAAGCCATGCGCGACAAGTTCCACTTGCTTTCCCTCGACCAGTACACTTACATCAACCCCAAGTGCTTCGACGTGCCCGGAATCGACGACATTGCAGACTACAACGACGTCTGCGCCGCGTTCAAGTCCATGGCCATGAGCGAGGAGCAGGTCGAGGCTGTCTGGAGCATTGTGTCGGGAGTGCTGCTGCTGGGAAACGTGAAAGTCACAGCTTCCAAGCAGGGCGGCATCGACGATGCTGCTGCGATTGAAGGCGACAACTTGACACTCTTCAACCAGGCCTGCCAGCTGCTGCACATCGACGCAGAGGCAGTGCTGCGCGAGCTCACGCTCAAAGTCACCTACGCAGGGGGCCAAAAGGTGGAAAGCCGCTGGAAACAAGAAGACGGAGACATGCTCAAGTCTTCTCTGGCCAAAGCCATGTACGACAAGCTGTTCTTGTGGATCATCCGCGAGCTCAACAAGTCCATCGAGCCCCCCGAGGGCTTCCGCAACTTTTTGGGAATGCTCGACATCTTCGGCTTCGAAGTCTTCAAAAACAACTCCCTCGAGCAGTTCTTCATCAACGTCACCAACGAAATGCTCCAAAAGAACTTCGTCGACATCGTCTTCACCCGCGAGGCCAAACTGTACAAGGAGGAGGGGGTTTCCACGGCCGAACTCGTCTACACCTCCAACGCCGACGTCATCTCACTTCTCACCGACAAAAAAAGCTCCATTTTGTCCACTCTTGAGGACCAGTGCTTGGCTCCAGGCGGCGGCGACGAGAAGTTCGTGGCGGCTTGCAAGTCCGCGTTCAAGAACTCCCCCAAATTCAAACCCGCCAAGGTTTCGCCCAACATCAACTTCCTCGTCTGCCACACCATCGGCGACATTCAGTACAACGCAGAGGGCTTTCTTTTCAAGAATAAAGACGTCCTCAGAGCGGAGATCATGGAGGTCGTCCAGGCCTCCCCCAACCCCGTCGTCCGGGACTTGTTCGCGGGAATTGTCATGGAAAAGGGAAAGATCGCCAAGGGCCAGCTCATTGGCTCGCAGTTCTTGAGGCAACTCGAGGCTCTCATGGACCTTATCAACGTGAGATAGCCGGCGCCGCGAGGATTCTTGTTCATGTTGATTCGTTGGATGTTTAGTTAGCTGTTTGGTACCCCTGTAATGGCTTCTGTGTGCGCCTTCGTGCAGCATTACCTAAGTTGCACTGGTGGTTCTTAATCAAAACTTTTGTTTTTTCAAATTTCTTTAGCGTATTCGTTTGCGCCAGCACGTTTGCAGTGATTCGGCAGGTTATCGTTCAAAATGCCACTTGGCTGGCGATTTCGGAGTTTGAAAGGATGAGTTGTTTGATGATTTTTGTGCACGCGATTGCTTCGTTGTGTTCGCTGCAGAGCACAGAGCCACATTTCGTGCGCTGTGTGAAGCCCAATGACACCAAGAAGCCACTGGATTGGGTGCAGTCTAAAGTGCTCATTCAACTTCATGCGCTTTCAGTGCTGGAGGCGCTGCAACTCAGACAAGTTGGCTTCTCTTACAGGTAAATTGGACAAACAGTATCTCTTAATAGAAGTAAAGGTTGACTTTAATTCATAAGCAGTCAGTTTTTGTTTTAACGAAAAGCTTCGCGCCGGTATAAGTAGGAGTGCGCGGTGCTGGGGTGGTGCGAATCTCGCTTTGCTGGCGCCACATATGAACTTGCATGCATATACTTTAACTGCTTACATATAGTATACATATAAATTCCGAATTATTACACGCATTTGGCGGCGCGCTATTTATTGACTTCTACCTGCATGTCTGTTGTCCTACCCACAGACGCCCCTTCAAAGATTTCCTGTACCAGTTCAAGTTCATTGATTTGGGCATTTGTGAAAACCCCAACTTGTCGCCCAAGGAGGCCTGCGAGGCTCTTCTTGAGAAGGCTAAAGTCAGCAAGAGTGGGTGCCAGGTAAACAGGAAACAGCCAATTAAATGACTGCACTGTTATTCACCGTCAGTATTAAAGTTTTTGATTAAGTAGCTCGTTGCCTAGATGTTCAGTGCAGCATCAAGATGAAATGAGACGCTGTTTAGGGGGCGTTGAATAGTTGTCGAAAATTCATCACGTTTTTATTTAAAAGTGAATGAGTTCAAGCTGCTTTTTGTTCTTGAAATAACCAAGAGCCTCTCTTAGCCGGTTGTCTTCGATTTCTGTAATTGCACACGAGGAATTAGACTGATCACACGTTAAATTGAAGTGGATCTTAAACATAAACCCTAAACCCTCGTGCTGCTGCTGCTGTTCCCAGGTGGGGAAGACCATGATATTCCTGAAGCAGGACGCAGCGAAACAGCTGACGCTGCTGCAGCGGCAGTGCCTTGCTGCGTGGACTCCGGTAGTTAACGTTCTTGAGGCTTGCTATTTGAAGCTGAGGCTGAAGAAAGCTATTCAGAAGAAGCAGCACTACATCATCCGCACTCAAGCACACATCAGGAGGTAGGCAAAAAGGGTTTAGGGTTTGGCTGGTGGCTTCGGTCTAGAGTCTGCAGAGAACTGCAGCAAGTATTTAGGGTTTACAGCGAAGGTCTTGGGGTTGCATTGAAGTGTGATAGTATATATGCCTATGTGGGCCTTATAAAGATTTATAAGAATACTTATAATACATATGTACTGCATGTTATGTTATATTTAAGCAAGAACGATTATACACACATTTCTGTCTTGCCCGTGTGGGTTGTGTGTGTACTTGTCTGTGGGTACTTGTGATTTATTTATTGCTTTGCCTTATTACTTCATTATTTTGTGCTTTGTTTTTAATTTGAATTTTGCTGCTGCTGTGCTGCTTGCTGCGTTCAGACACATTGTTGACCACAATGTCAGTCCGCCGGCGATTACGAAACTGTTCTAAGCGCAGCAGCAATTTATGCAGCAACAGTAGAAAAGCACATATAAATAAGATATATAATATATACAATATTTAATATGTATATGGTTCAATGTAAGACAAAGTTCAGCGTCTCCGCAGTAGATTACACTCGCTTTCCTGCACGTACGTATATATGAATATAAATATATATGTATATACATATACAGCGTCTTCTTTACCTTGCCTCCCCCGCACTTTTGTTGTTAAACTATTTGTGTGTTCTTTGTTCTCTTTGGCTTCCATTCACCACTATGTCACCGTTTCCTGAGCGATTGTGTCTACAATGACATCTGCTGCTACAGCGGCAGCTGTTGCAGGGCAGCAGGGGGGCCCCTGCTGCTGCAGCAAGAGCAGCGGCCCCTTGCTGTTGCTGCTGCAGCAAGAGCGGGGGCCCCCACTGCCGCAGCAAGTGCAGGGACTCGTGCTGCTGCAGCTGCAGGAAGAGCAGGGGCCCCTGCTGCTGCAGTTCGCGCCCACAGCGGCGCCCACAAGTTAAAGTTTCAATGAGACAAACAGTGATGCTTCTTTTCTTTGTTGCCTCCTGGCCTTGTCTAGCGAAGGAAGCGGCACTATAAGCCAAAGATCCCAAGTAAAGGAGCAAACAGAAATAAAAGATACAATAAAGAGCTCCAAAAGATACAAATTAACTGACTAATCAATGTTAGATGACAGGAAATCAGCTAAGAACGCATAGAGAACGAACAAGGACTTCGCCTGGGAAGCCACACTGTAATAGAAGAAGCCACTCTTATATATGAGTGTGTGCTGCATAGTATGGTAGCGTGCACCTAATTAGTATAATATTGCATAATACTATCATCTAGCAAGTATATTATTTAGCTATTTACTTAGTATAATATTGCATAATATCATCCAGCAAGCATATTATTTAACTATATTATTCAATTACTTATTAAGCCTAAGTACAAGGCACTCGTTTCGCCAGGCATTGAAACAGCAGCGGCAGCTGCACGCATGGATCTGGTGCACAGTGTATATACGGTATTTGTTTACTGTGTCTTTTGTGCAAGCATTACAATCTTTACGAGAAAATGTTTTCACCATATAATTAAATGTTTATTTCCATGAAGTTGGCAGGCGGATGTATTTGAGTGGTGACAGCTGAATTCATGTAAGCTTCAAAACAGCAAATAGCTGTTCAGTTTAAAAGGAGGAAATAGTAATTCAAATTGCTGCTGCTACTGCTGCTGTTGTTGCTGCTGCTGCTGATGGGGAGTGAGGCAGAAAACCCACAAATATACTTTAGGAAAATATTTTGAGAAAGATAAATGCAAAGGAGTCTCGTTGGTGACAGTTGAAAAAGCGCATATATGCCAAGGAGGCCACCCACGACTTAACGCATATTTAAACATATTCATCGTTGGAATTAAAACAATTTAATCAATTTAATCATTTAAACAGACAAAAGAGAGGAGAAGGCCCTCTCTTTTTATGCAACTCCCTCAGGGAACCCGCAGCCACTGAACTGTAGCTGCTGCTGCAGCTGTTGCTGCTGCTGCTGCAGCAGAAACTGCTGCTGCTGCTGCAGCTGCGGATGAAGCCTGCGCATGTGCTTGTTCGTGCTGCATGCATTCGCCAGCAGCACCTTGATAAGTTTTGCTGCTTCCATTAATTGTTTATCGCCTCCCGCTTCTCCCTCAACCACTCCATCTAAAAATGCACTAATGGACTCAAAGTCCAGTGAGCTGCCTATACACCCGAAACCAGGGGCCCCCAAACTTAGGGGGCCCTCCCCTTCTGCTGCCTTTACCCAGTCCAGCAGCAAGCGCAGCATCACGCGCTGCAAGTGGCTACGGACAAGAGCAGCAGTCACGAGAGCTTGCTGCTGCTGCTGCTGTTGCTGCTGCTGCTGCTGCCGTTGTGCATTGAAGATATCACAGGCTTGCTCTATGAGCGCTTCTTGGGCCAAAAGTTGCAGATACACCTCAAATGAATCCGACAGGGAAAGTGCTGCTGCCCGCGGCCACCCAAGCGGTATCAGCAGCAGTTCATCTGGCAGCAGAGACGTATCCTGCTGCTGCTGCTGCTGCTGTTGCTGCTGCTGCCGCCATACGGCATGCAGCACTTCCAGGCAGCATCGAGCCAGTATGTTGCCCTTCTGCAGCACCTCCTTTGCTTCTGCTGCTGCTTCTGCTGCTGCTGCACAATCTGGAGGCGAAGGCAGCCCCGTCCATGCGAAATTGCAGCAGCGCAGCAGCAGCAGCAATACGGGACTCCCGTCTAGCTGCTCCGAAGCAGGAAGCAGTTGCTGCAGCAGCCTGCGGCAGCAGCAACACGCACTACTTAGAGTTTCCAGATTGCACACGCGTGAGAGAAGCAACAGCCATAGCAGTAGCAGCAGCAGCAGCAGCAACAGCAGCAGCAACAACAAAAGCAGCAGCAACAGCAGCAGGTCTCACCTCACGGTAGGGCACGCCGCATCTGTGGACGCCTCAAGAAAGAGGCGCGACAGCAGTGCAGCAGTTGCTGCATGCACAGTGGCAGTGACTCCGAGCATCTGCTGCTGCTGCTGCTGCTGCACAACAGCTGGCAGATGCAGCGCCAAGTCTAGCAGCAGCGCGCGCAGCGAAAAGTGGGGGGCGTCAGCAGCAGCAGCAATTGCGAAAAGCTGCGGCACTGGCAGCAGCGAGAATCGCAGCTGCCACACAGCCCCTTCTTGGCTGCACAAGGATGCCACCCACTGCTGCTGCTGTAGCTGCTCCCGCTGCTGTGGCTGCTGCTGCAGCTGCAGCTGCAGCTGCTGCAGCGCCACCCAGTGCATCAGCGGCAGCTGCAAGTCTTTGAGGATCTGAGGGAGAACGCACAGCAAACAGGAGCAGCACGCCATTGCAAATGGTGCTGCAACTACCCTTCTGCTGCTGCTGCTGCTGCTGCTGCCAGTTCTCCTGATATCTCTGCTGCCTCTAGTGCTGCTAGCGCTGCAGCAGAAACAGTTTGGTGGGTTTGCAGCAGCATACCGTCTGGAGAGCCTCGAGCGCCGAGATGACCTGCTGCAGCAGCTCTATTTCCTGCTGCTGCTGCTGCTGCTGCGGCTCAATAATTGAGCAGAAGAGTGAAGCAAGCTCTAGGCCACAGAGAGGTTCCCATGTACCAGCGGCAATTGCTGACGACCGCTGCTGCAGCAGCTGCTGCAGCAGGCGCAAGGCTTCTGCTGCTGCAGCGCAGCGAACTGCTGCTGGCAGCGGCGGCTGCTGCTGCGCTGCTTCCGTGGCGGCCAAAGCCGTGTATATGCTTGCCGCCAGCAGCAGCAGGTGCCACTGCTCCTGCTGCTGCTGCTGCTGCTGCTGCGCGTAAAGCTGTGCCAACACTCCTCCTTGAGGCACGAGGCCTCCACTGAAGCAGCAGTGCAGATAGGCACGCACAATTGACAGTGCCCCAGGATCTCCACTACTACTGCTACTGCTGCTGCTGCAGCTTTTGCTGCTGCTGCTGTTATTGCTGCTGCTGCTGAAGATTGCCAAGATAGCCGAAACTGCCCAGTGCTGCTGCGCCTCAGGGCGGCAGCGCAGCAGCAGCCCGCAGCAGACAGAGCTGTCGAGGGCATCGCATGCAGCAGCCACAGCAGCGTGCTGCTGCCCTGGATCAGCCGCTGCAGGGGCGGCTGCTGCTGCTGCTGCTGCCGCTGCTGCTGCTTCCCTGCTGCACTGCAGCGACTGCTGCTCATGGACCTCAAAAAGAGAATCAAGCGCCATCCACTGCAGCAGCTCGCCCGGCAGCAGCAGCGGCAACTGCCCTCCACTGCTTCTCTCCACTCTCTTCCACAGACCCTCTACAAGCTGCTGCTGCTGCGGCTGCTGCTGCTGCTGCTGTCCACAGGGCTGCAACGTTGAACTGTCGAGCAGCAGCTGTTCTGTGGAAGTGTAGCCAAGCACCCGCGGCAGCAGCTGTTGCCAGCCAAGCGCAGCAGCATCCCGGCTGAAGGTGCTGCTGCTGCTACTGCTGCTGCTGCTGCTGAGGGCAGCAGCAGCAAGGCGGACCGCCTCCTTGAAAGCCGCAACAACATCTGCAGCTTGCAAATCACTTGAGTAACATGTGAGGCGCCCTTTTGGCGGTGCTGCTGCTGATGCTGCTGCTGAGACCAGCTGCTGCACTGCTAGATGCATTGCTGGATACGAGTCATCGTGCTGCAACAACAGCTGCAGCAAGCACTCCGTCAGGAGCTCCCGCTGTAAACAAGTACAAAGTGCAGCAGCAGTAGCAGCAAAATTGCAGCTTGAAGTAGCAGGAAGCAAGGAAGTCGCTGGCCAATCGACCGCCGTGGAGTCCCCAGCAGCACCAGCAACAGCAGCAGCAGCATTTCCTACCTTTTGCTCAGCCCCGCATTCTGCAAAGCAAGCAAGAAGAGCATTAGCCAGACGCAGCAAAAGCAGCGAGGGCTTCTCTGCCTGCTGCTGCTGCTGCTGCTGCTGCGGCTGTTGCTGCTGCGTAAGTACCCAAGCCCACCAACGGAAGAGAGCACGGCCGTCTGCTGCACTCAAAGCCCTGCACACAGCAGCAGCAGACACAAACCCAGCGTTTGCTGCTGCAACCGTAGCTGATGCTGTTAATCCAGCTGCTGCTGCTGTTCCACCAAGTGCTGCTGCAGCTGCTGTGTTTGCTAGGACTATTCCTGCTGCTGCTGTGCTGGTTCTGACCAGCGCAGTTTCGATCTGAGAGCCGTAGCAGCGCTACTGCTGCCGCTGCTGCTGCTGCTGCTTGCTGCTGCCACAAGCTGCCCACACGGGCTGTCTTGACACAGCAGCAAGAGGGGGTGCTGCTGCTGCTGCATCAAGATCGCAGTGCCGAGGCAGCGCCAAAGCCGCTGCTGAGTTCTGCTGCACTGCAGCAGCTGGGCAAGTGTCCTGTTGCACATCAGGTGGCTTGCTGCTGCTGCTGCTGCTGCTGCTGCTGCAGACGCACCCCTAGACAGGGCGTCTGCCTGCTCCCAAACTAGAGCTCGGCTGCTGCGAGGCAGCGGCTCTATAGCAGCAAGCAGATGAAGCATCTGCCGCAGCAGCAGCAGCAGCAGCACAAACCCCAGCAGCCGCAGCAGCTGCTGCCGGTACAGGGATCCCCCGGGTGCTGCCTCTAGCAGCCGCCGCAGGCTTCCGGAGCTGTCTATACACTCCACCAGCCGCTGCAGCATGCCACTGTCCATGCTGCTGCTGCCTTTGCTGCTGCTGCTGCTGCTGCTGCTGTTCCTGCTGCTGCTGCTGCATGCAAAAGTCCAGGGAGGCTGGCGAGCAGCAGCAAGCGCATGCACTAAAGAAGCAGCAAGAGTGGAGGCGCGGGGCCCCACAAGCAGAAGCAGCTGCTGCAGCAGCAAGTCCAGCTGCGCGCAGAGCCACTCCAGATAGGCAAGAGGCAGCCGGCAGACGGGCGGTGTTGCTGCTGCTGCTGCTGCTGTTGCTGCTGCACTGACAATGTCACTTGCTCCGGCTCCGCCCTGCAGCACAGCAGCAGCAGCAAACGCACTGCTGCCTACACCAGAACAGCCACTGCAGCTCTAGCTAGCTAGCCACGCGCAGCTATGACTATATACCGCTAGCTATAGCTAGCCAAAGCAAGCTACAGCTAGCTAAAGCTAGCCAAAGCGAGCTACTGCTAACCACAGCGAGCTACAGCTAGCTACAGCTGGCCACAGCTAGATACAGCTAGCCACAGTTAGCTACAGCTAGCCACATCTAGCTGCTGGCGCGTCGCAGCGCACTGAGACAAATGCTCACGGCAAGAGAGAGCACCTATGTTCAAAAAGCCAGGCCACGCCCTCACCTGCTGCTGCCTCTGCTGCTGCTGCTGCTGCTGCTGCTGCTTCGTGGCCGCGTAAAGTGGAGTTTCCCACAGACTGCCCACAAGCAGCGCCAGACGCATCTCTAAGGCTTCAATCCACTGGGGCTGCTGCAGCTGTTGCTGCTGCTCGTTGCTGCTGCTGTCTTCTGTGTCCGCGATGAGAGTCAGACGCGGCAAATGGTCCTCCTCCAAAGACATGCTGCTGCTGCTGTTGTTGCTGCTGCTGCTGCCGCACGGCTGCAGAGATAGCAGCTGTTGCAGACAGCCCCAGCGTGTTTGCGGCGCTGCTGGAGGCACAAGAGGAAAGATTCTCCTAAACTCAATAGCAGCAACTGCTGCTGCTGTTGCTGCTGCAGCAGAATCTGCTTCGACTTGCAGGCGGCCCAACACACTGCGGGACTGCTGCTGCTGCAGCTGCTGCCGGACAGTCTTTGCTGCTGCTCGGTGAGCTCTCAATGCAGCAGCAGCGCGTCGCCCTGCTGCTGCACCTACTGCAGCACAACACACGCTGCTGCTCTTGCTGCTGCTGCTGCTGCTGCTGGCCACGACCTCAACAAGCAAGAACTCTGTGGGCGTGAAAAGCCACATTCGTCTGCTACTGCTGGCAAATGTATTTGCTGCTGCTGCTGCGGCTGCAGCTGCTGCTCCCATCCCGTGTCCTGCTGCAGCAGCTGCAGTGGGAGAGGCCAAGCCGGGAGGTACACCCTCTATGTGCTCCCCCAGCAGCAGCCGCAAGCTGCCGCTGCTGCTGCTGCTGCTGCTATCGTGCTGCGGGTGCTGCAGCGGCCACCACAGTAGTCGGTCCTCCGTTGCTGCCAGCAGCGGAGAGCGCAGCGCCAGCCGACAGCAGCAATGCAGGTGCATCGGCTGCTGCGCTGCAGCAGCAGCTGCTGCAGGATAAATTGCTGCTGCTGCTGCTCCGGTATGTGTGTCTGAGGGCCAGGAAACGCGTAGCGACAGCAGCACCGACTGGCTGTCTGCAGCAGCAAGCTGCTGCTGCTGCTGCCGTGCACCGCTGCATGCAGCAGCAGCGCCCTCGAAAAACACAAAAAGCCCACTGCTGCACAATGCAACAGCATTCTGCTGCTGGTGCTGCTGTTGCTGCTGTTGCTGTTGCTGTGTGCCACGAAGCGTCAACAGAGAGCCGCCCGCACCTAAGGCTTCTGCATCGCCTCTGCTGCTGCTGCTGCTGCTGCTGCCTTTAGCTTCTGCCAGCTGCTGCTGGCACTGAGCTGCATCCGGCGAGTGCAGAATAGACAGAAGACGCAGAGAAAACTTCCCAGCTTTGCTTGAACAGCAGCTGCTCCTGTCCCTGCTGCTGCCGACCGCTCTGCCGCTGCTGCTGTCAGCTGCATCAGCAGCAGCAGCAGCAGCATCAGCAGCAGTTTGCTGCTCAAGGCCGACTAGCAGCAGCACGCGGTCACCCCTGGCAGTGATCAGCGTCAGCAGCGGCTGGCCGTCAGGGGTGAAGGAGCACAGCAGATCCACAAGCTGCAGCTGCTGCTGCTGCCGCTCCTGCAGCTGCTGCTGCTGCGGCGGCGGCAGCAGCAGCAGCTGCTGCTGCTGAAGCTGCTGCTGCCAACAGCTTGCAGACATGTAAGCCACGCACTCGACGCCCACGGGAGGGCCTGGGTACTGCTGCTCCCCTAGGGCTTCAGCAACAGCTCCGAAGTCTGCTGCTGCTGCTGCAGTACTAGCTGCTGCTGTTGCTGCGTTTCCTACTTCTTCCCGGCAAACAGGACAATCGCAGCATCCATCATGATCAGTTGACTGCGATCCTGCAGCGTCTTCAGCAGCAGCTGCTGCTGCTGCTGGTGCTGCTGCTGCCGCTGCTGCTGCTGCTGTCACTGGTGCAGCGGATGTACCAGATCGCGAATAGGGGAGTTGGAGGCTGCAGCACAGCAAGACCAAGCAGCAGCTTCAAAGAGTTTGGCAGCAGCAGCAGCAGTCTCAGCAGCAGCAACGCCCGCAGCAGCAGCAGCAGCACCGGTGGAAGCCAACAAACAAGAATGCAGCAGCGCAGCGGCAGCAACAGCAGCAGCAGCAGCAACTGCAGCACCTACAGAGCAGCAAGACCCTTGGCTATGCGTGAGAGCAGGCGGCCTTCTTTGTGTCTGTGCAGCAGCAGCAGATACACCCCGCTGCTGTCATCTGCTGCTGCCAGCAGCTTATCAGCCACTTCCTCTACAAAGATGAACCCGCGACGGCGCCCTGCTGCTGCTGCTGCTGCTGCTGCTGTTTGCCGCTGCAGCCGTTGCACTGCCGCTGCAGCTGTTGCTGAGCAGCGACTGCAGGAGCCGTCGGCTGCTCCGTTGCTGCTGCCTCTCCCGCTGCCGCTGCTGCTGCTGCTGCCTGCGGCGCTGCAGCAGCAAGTGCTGCTGCAGATGCTGCTCAGGCGGAGAGGCAGGCGCTGCACTTTGCTGTTTGCTGCTCTTTGATCAATTGTGAACTGCAGCAGCTGGCCCCCAATGCAGGCGTAAAGCGAGCAGCAGCCATCTTGCTGCTGCTGCTGTTGCTGCTGCTGCGCGAAAAGGCGAGGCGCGGAGTGCCAGGGGCTGCGGTACAGCTGCTGCTGCTCCTCCTCGAGTTGCTGCTGCCGCTGCTGCAGCAAACACCGAATGTCCGAGGGCAGGCTGACGGCCAAGTCCTCCAAAGCAACCAGCTGAGCCATCCACAGCTGCTGCTGCACCCCGTTGCTGCTGCAGCTGCTGCTGCTGCTTTGGAGCTGAGCTGCAGCAGCGGGCAACAGAATCGGGCAGCATCCGTCCGACATGTAGTCAGAAATGCAAGCTCTCTTGTGCTTCTGCTGCTGCTGCTGCTGCTGCAGCAAGACCACAGCGAAGACAAGAAGGGACTGAGTCGTGAGCAGAAACAGCAGCAGCTGCTGCTGCTGCCCCGCCTCCACCAAATCCTGCTGCAGCAGTGCGCCGCGGCAGTAGCAGCAAGCAGCAACAATGGCAGCATCTGCTGTGAGGCGCAGCACCGACGGCTCTGCTGCTTCTCCTGCTGCTCCTGCTGCTGCTAGTGGAAGCAAATAAGCCGTGTTGCCCTGGAAGAGACACACCTGCTGCAGCTGCGGCAGCATCTGCACTCCAATTGCTGCAGGCTGCTGCTGCAGCGCAGCAACGAGAGCAGCAGGCAGAAAGCCCCGCTGCAGCGTTTTGAGGTGTATGTACACCGGGAAAAGAGGCGTTTGCTGCCACACGTCTACTATGTTTAAAGGAGCCCCTGCTGTTGCAACTGCAGCAGCAGCAGCAGACGCATCTGCTGCTTCATTCGCGTCTTGTGGCTGCTGATTCTCCTGCAGCTGCTGCTCACGCGGCGACGCAGGTGCTGCTGCTGCTGCTGCTCGGTGCCACTGCAGCACGCGGTCTACGTCTTTGCGCGCTGTAGACTCCACCTGCTGCGGCAGCAGCTGCTGCTGTTGCTGCAGCTGGAGGGGCTGTTGCTGCTGCTGCTGGAATCCCGCAGAAAGGCACCGCAGCGAATCTGCCGCTGCTGTTGCTGCTGCCAGCTCGACACGGCGCTGAGCCTCGGCAACTAGGCGAAAGAAATGCGCCGCTTCTGCTGCTGGTGGCTCTGCTGCTGCAGTTGCTGCTGCTGCTCCTGCAGCAGCATCAAACACGTGGGGTGAAGGGCCCCCTGCAGCAGCAGCATACCTGCTGCTGCTATCCGCAGCCTCCTCCATATTGTTCCTGTCGCCCCTGCTCCTGATGCTGCTGCTGTGACTTGCGTGAGTGTTTCTGGCAGCGCTTGCTGCTGCTGCTGCTGCTGCTGCCTTGGGGGCTGGGACGGGGGCCCTCCGCAGGGCTGCTGCAGCGGCTGTTGCTGCAGCTGCCCTGAGCAAACGAGAGGCGTCAAATGAGCAGCAAAAGATTCGTGGGCCAGCACGAGAGCTGCTGCTGCTGGCGTTGCTGCCCTTGCTGCAGCTTCTGTTGCTGCTGCTCCTGCTGCTGCTGCATGCGCAAAGCCGGCTTCAGCAGCAGCGAGTCCGTCTCGCATATGTTCCTCCTGGACTGTTTGCTGCTTCTTGAAATAACCAATTTGAGTGAATCTGTTTTCCTTGACTTTGTCCACCTTCAATTTGCTGCTAAGCAGCAGGATCGCAGGTGCTTCTGCTGCAGTGTGCTCCGCGCCGTTGCCTGCCATCTTTGCAGCAACTGGGGTGTACGTACACCTCAGGGTCGCGACCCCCCTGCAGTAGCTGCTTGCAGGCGGCACCTTGACTGCAGCACAAGCAGCAGCAGCAGCAGCAGCTCCTGCTGCTGCAATGGTAGCGACGACAGCAGCAGCCCCAAGCTGGACCTGGTTAAAGGCAGCCGCCGTCGCCTGCAGATGGTTCGTCTGGGGTCATTTGTTGCCGGGGCTCTCTGTGGTTTGCTGCTGCTGCTGCTCGAGCAGCAGCAGCAGCAGCAGCAGCTTCTGCTGCAGCAGCTGCCAGGCCAGGAACAGCAGCAGGGCGAAGGATACCTCATCCGGCAGAATGTGTCTCGGGGATTTTGGCTCATCATGTTTGCTGGCGTTCTAGTGCGGAAGCAGCCAAACAGCAGCAGCAGCAGCAGCAGCAGCAGCAAGAGGTCCTCTACAGCGGACATGGGGTACCAGTGCGTGGCTTTGTTTGTGGGGGGTTGCTGCTTTTTGTTTTTCCCGCTGCTGCTGCTGCAGTGCCGGGTGTCCTGCGCAGCAGCAGCAGAAGGCTTGTTTATTTTGCTGCTGCTGCTGCACCACTACTCTGAATACCTTTTTGTTGCTGCTTTTCACCCCCAGGATTTGTGCTTCGATTCTTTTCTTATAAACAACAGTCCAGTGTATGCAGCAGTGCTGCTGCTGGCGTTGCTGGAGCAGCAGCTGAAGCCTTCGGTTGCTGCTGCAGTGCTGAACAGCAGCAACGCGTTGCTGCTGCTGCAGCTGCTGCTGCACCAGCAGGTGCACCTGCCGCAGCTGCTGCTGCAGGTGCACACTTTCGCGTGGCACGCGTTGCTGCAGCGGCCGCTGCTCGCGAGCGACTTGGATTTGCTGCTGCAGCAGCCGCAGCAGGCGCTGCTGCAGGCGCAGAAGTCGGGGGCCGCCGGGTCTCCCGCTGCAGCAGCAGCAGCAGCAGCAGCAGCAGCAGACCTCGCAGCGGACCCGCGCTCAGGCGTGCACTGGCAGCTCTGGGCGCTGTGGCTGCTCTGCGCTGTGGCTGCCTGCGGCTTTGCTGCTGCACTGCTGGGGCTGCTGCTGCGGGCTCTGGGCTTCTTAACTTTGAAGCAAAACTTCACTCACAAAATTCGCATGCAGAAGCAGCAGGGCCACCGGCTGTGCGTGGCTGGGGTGTACAGACACTGCCGCCACCCGGCCTACGCGGGGTGGTTCTGGTGGGCGGTGGGTGAGTGATCTGCGCTGGATTTCGCTGCTTTTTGTTTTATTTTTGCATTATTTTTCTTTTTATTTTATTTTTCATTTATTTTTATTTTTCATTCGCTTTTTGCGCTTTTTTGGACTCCTTTGGCCTTCATTTCGACCCCGGCTCCCTCGGGGGCTGGGCTGCACACTTTGTTGCAGTTCACTCAAATGTTTTTCCTGCTTTTTTGCTTCTCTTCTGTTGCATTTTATCTTTAAAATAATTCATTTATTTTAAATGAATTGTTTTTAAAACATTTCATTTATTTGTTTATTTCAACTGAGAGAATGCAGTCAGCAGCAGCAGCAGCTGAAGGTTGCGGCGGCGCTGCCCCCGCAGTGGCCGCTGGCCGGTGTTTTTGTGGCAGGGTTAATGGTTTATTCGCTGCTGCTGCTGCTGCTGCTGCTGTTGCTGCTGCTGCTGCAGGCTCCCAGGTGCTGCTGCTCAACGTGGTGTGTTGCTGTTTGTTCTTCGTTGTTTCATTTGTTTTCTTTCGGGAGAGAATTTTTTTCGAAGAGAAACAACTGGTGAAGATGTTTGGCGAGGACTACGAGGTGTACAGACACCGCGTTAGAACCATTGGGTAAGCTGCAGCTCTGGCAGTTCATTTTTAATTGGTTTATTTTCTTCTTTCTTTGTTGCTGGGGCCTTTGTGGCAGTTCATTTTTTAATCCATTTATTTGTTTCTTTCTTTCTTTATTGCTGCAGCTTTTGCCCGGCCAGAACTTGGGTTGTCTTTGTGTTTATTTTTTTATTTCTTTTTATTTCGCTGCTGCCGCAAAACCTTCCATTTGTTTTCTTTTAATTCTTTCTCCTCAAAGTCTCTTCGACGCGCGAACCCTCTTGACCTTAGTTGCTGCTGCTGCTGCTGTGACTGTTGCTGCTGTTGCTGCTGCTGCTGCTGCTGTTTGTTTCTGCAGCATTCCTGGTCTTCAGTCTGCGCTTGATGCGGCAGAGGAGGCGCAGCGACGCTCTTCGCCTTCTTCTTAGTGCGTTGAGTTTGTTTGCTTTTTAAACATGAACAAATGCGCACAAGCATGCAGCAGCAGCCTGCTGCAGCAGCAGCCTGCTGCTGCTTCTGCCAGCAGCAGCTGCTGGAGTAGCAGCAGCGGCTGCTGCTGGCAGAAGCAGCAGCAGAAGCAGCAACAACCTGCTTGCTGTTTTGTCTCTGCATTCAGAGACTCGCGGAACGGAGAAGCTCGGAGTGTAACAAGGCCCTGAATAAAGAATAAAGAACAAATAAATAACTAACAAAACAATAAAGAACAAATAAATTAATAACAAAACAATAAAGAACAATTGAACAAGTAGGAGACAAAACAAAATGAAGCTCCTGTCTGGGGCGCCCTGACAGCAGCAATTCGAGCTGCAGATACACCTGGGCGTCTGGCGCTTTCACGCGAACAAAGTTTTATATAAGTTTCAAACTTCTATTGTTTTTTATTATTTTAATTCTACGCAAACTTTCATTGTTTTTTATTTTAATTCTTTTGCAGTATCGAGACACTTTTTTTCGATTCATAATTCGCGACCCGCCGAACCAAACTGAGGCGTACGTACACTGAGGTGTACGTACACCCCATCGCCGCGCTGCCCCTCAAGAAATCTTTACTCTGTGCCATTTCATTTTATTTTGAGTGCGCGTCTGCCTGTAGATCTCGCGTGCGATTATAGATAAGTATTTTTTATATTTAGCATTCTTTTTCAAGTCCATTATGTGGAAGTTTGCAAATATAAATATGCATTTATGTGGGCTTCATGTAAACTTGAGAGAATTGAACTCGTATTTTTAACTTGGAAGGCTGTTCTCATTTATTTTTATTAATGTGGCTCCTGTACTGGTGCTTTAGCGGTACGTACACCGAACAGCTCAAGTGTCAAAAGTGGAAATATGAAAGTCAAGTTTACGCCTTTTGAGCCCATATATATATATATATCATATATATACAATATATATTAGTAAAGGTCTTAGTGCTTATGTATTGGTCTTAATGCATTTAATGCATGCATTAAATGCATGCATTGTGCCACTAAGACTGCTTCTACTTCCGTTTCGAGGGAGCCCGCAAACGCGTGCAGCCCCGTAAAATCACTTTAGTTTTATCTTTTTGCATTCTGGCTTTTGCGTCTTCACGCATTTCTTTTGAGCCGCCTTTGCTGAATAAATATTTAAATGAAGAAAAGGACTTGCAGCTAAAGGAAGCGGGGAAGATATTAATTAGAATTGCCCCCGTAGCCTAAGAACCAATTTTTTAATTTTTTAAATGTTCTTCAGCCACGCTTTTGCTGCCGTTTTGAACACCGAAAAGAAGCCGAACTGGTGCTGCCAATGCTGCTTCTGTGGCCTCAAGGTATGAATTGTTGCAGCAATTATAAGTATTTATTATTCTGCGATTTGTTTTAATTGCTGCCTGCACACTGCTGCCGCTGTTAAGGGCATTCAGATCTGGATGGTGCCGCAGCAAGACAGGCTCCGAGCAACAGATATGAGGCAGCAAACACTGGGACTTTAGCGACACCAAAACTTTATATGCATTATATTATTCTAGAAATTAAACATTAAATGATGGGAAGATGCGGAATGAGTAGAAAGTCAGTTTGTTGACCATGCGCAGCTGTCCGTACACCCCAGCAACCCGCCGCGCAGCCGCTTCCCACAAGAGGATTCACTTCTTTCTAACTCTCTGACTCCAAACTTTTAATTCTTTTCAAAATGGGAGACACAAAACCCACTTTGCAAGCGCTGGCTTGGCGCAGTTGGCAAAAAAGACTCCGCCGTCGCTCAGAGCCTTCAGTTCCGTCCCACTCGGCGGCGTCGAAGGAGTCGAAAGTGCAGTGGAAGAAGGTGAATTCGGAGTTTCTGCAAAATTAAAGTGCACTTATGAATGTTTTAAACATTTGATTTGATTTTTTATCCAAATTAAGCGCTAAATTGGTGTTTAAGAAGAACATTCCACCCATCCGCTGTTCTGGCTCTGTGTGCAGGAAACTGTCGTGTGGGGAAGGCGGCATTTCCCAGTTTGGGTTCGCTATAAGGCCGGCGAAGTGAGGCTGCATCTTTGCTGCAGTTAATTTCTAAATTAAATCAAAAGTATTATTTCCACTTTTCTGATTTTTCCACCTCGTCTTATTTCCTTTCCACCTTCCGACTTGCAGCTCGCAGTGAACGGAGAGCAGCGCAGCCAGCCCCGCAATTCCCCCCTGTGAGTTTTCTTTTGAATTTTTTATACCAAAAAAGAAAGCTAATTGCACACATAGAAGGAAGGCTGCTGCGTCTTCCGCTGCAGCAGCAGCAGCAGCAGCAGCAGCAGCAAGTGACGTAGAGGGCGAACTGGGACTGTGGAGGCCGCAGAACAAAAGCAAAAAGACAGACAAATCGCCTTTTTCTTCTTTAACTTCTTTTTCGAAAATTGGCAAAAAAAAGAAAAGCAAAAGCTTGAAAAAAAAATGCCTTTTGGGGAAACAGGGCGCGGCGGCGCAGGTGGAAGTGCGGAAGAGTTTCCGTCTTGCAACACTAAATGTAATTTGCATTTAATTTAATTTGAATTAAATAAAATATTTGAATTTAATTTTAATTAATTCCAATTTATTAATTCATTTCTCTCTTCATTTTATTTTTCATCCCACAGCAAACGACAAGCTTCGTCGCCGCCTTCGCCTCCTCCGAGGCCGAGTCTTCTTCCTCTTCAGACTCCGAATAAAATACATTAAAGGGCTTTTTAATTAATTAATTAATTTATTTCTTTTTTATTTCTCTTTCTTCAACTCAAAAACTGAAAAGCTCGGAGAAACTAGTTAATTAGAAGCCCCCCCAATGCATCTTCAGGGGGATTTAATTTGATTCAAAAAAGAATCAAATTGCAAAAATTTGAATCAAAAGAATGAGAAAATTAAAACAAGTTGAACTCTACAGCTGGTGCTTTCTGCACAACACAAGTTAAATTGAAAGTGAAGGAATTGAATTATTATTTCTCTTTAAATTACGCTTTTTATTTTAAAATAATAATTGCACGCAGCGCATTCTTAAGGCTTTTATTTAATTCAATAAAAAGGAATTAAAATTCCTTTTCTTTTATTTCTAATTGAACTGAGTCTCCCAGGGCCCGAGGCTGGCCTGGACACGAGGCCTCGTTTGCAGGAGCAAATCGAAGTGAATTAAAATTTAACAATTAAATTAAATTAAATTAAATTTGCTGCTGCAAACAGCAGCAAATTGGAAGAATTAAAGGGGCAAATAAGCACTTGGAGAGCAGCAGCAAGAGGCACCCACGGGCGAGCAGCGAAGGGCCACGGCGCAGCAGTGCGGCCGTCCGCGGGGTTTTGAGTGAAAACGAATTAAAAGAATTAAATGAAAAGAAAAACTTGCGGAAGTTTTGGAATTAAATTTAATTAATTTAAAGTTTTCCTTCGAAGTGTTTCGCGTGGCTGTTCACGCAGGTTCGCCCGTGGTCCACCGTGCTTTCCGCGGGACGCTGCAGCTGGAAAGCTGCAGCCTCGCGGCGAAAATCTTGGCTGCACTTTATTAGTTTGAAATAAAACAAGTTGGCTCTTTATTTTTGCAATTGCTTTCGAGGAGAATTCCTTCGAAATTGAATTTGAAGGAGAAGTCCGAAGGCCACCGATGCAGTCGGTGGCTGACCGGCAGCAGCCACCAACCAGCAGCAGCACAGCAGCAGCAAGCGGCCAGCAGCAGCGGCGTATCCGTGTTTAGCCTGCGAACCCGTTTATAAATATTGTCAAATTGAATTTAAAGCAACTGAATATCTGTTACCATAAACTTTGCGATTAAGACAAGTGAGCCACCGTTGGTGTCGACGCGACCGTCTGTGGATGCACAGTCGCTGCAACTCTCGAGGCCATTTCTCCGAACTTTCGACTCTTTGCGGATCATTTCCGTATTTTGCACTTTAGAACGTTTGATGGCACTTGTAAAACTCTAGACACGTCTTTACTTGCGGACACATCGGCGCAGCGGCCACACACACCGGCTCTGTGTGGCGTGCTGCGCAGCTCGCGCTGCACTCTTTGCTGTTTCGGTTTGAACTTTGAGCAAAAGGCCTCTTCCTGCGTATTTCTCGAAGCAGCGAAGGTTAAAAGGCTAATTTTTGCGCATTGTCTGTCTCTACACCCGAGAGACGGAGGGCTCGCGGTGTACACCGTCGCCGCGCCCCTCTTTGTCCACTTGGCACAGATTTACAGTGTCTATACAGACACCCGAGGCCCCAAAGGCCTCAAGTGTTCCCAATTTAATGCTGCTGCCTACTCTACAGGGCCCCAAGTTCCCTAGGGTGCTGCACGGGGGCCCCTGGGGGGCCCCCAGGGGGCTCCCAGGGGGCCTCCGGGCCCCCAGGTGGCCCCCGGCGAGGGTTGGCTTCGCTTCGAATGAGGTGTACAGACAGCTGAGAGAGGCGGCAACTACAATTTACAGCCAGACACAGACACCCCAACGCAGCGTCCTCATTCGTTTACTTAGACCAGTGGACTGACCTTGGGGCTTCTTGCTTCTTCCTAGAAGTTAAAAAAAGTACTAGAGACCGCATATGCACTTCAGAGCAAAAGGGCTGGGGGCCCCAAGAGGGGCTCACACCAAACACGGCCACTGCGCAGATGCTTATCTACAGCCACTTTCTATAGGTAGACAAGAGTAAGATTAAATTATATATATATATATTATATATTTTACATATAAACATATGTATACAAATATATACTTCATATAAACCAAATGGCTGAATACTGAAAGGTTTTAGCAACAGTAATTGTTCACGTTTTCATAGGCCTAGGTAGATAAGAAGTACCAGAACTGCTTAAGATGAGTGCAGTCATTGTTTGCTAATTATTAAGCCAAACACTAGAGCCACTGAGTGCCGCAGTGAGAAGTATAGATTTATATTTGTGGCAAGAAATTGCCGTTGGGCATTTGGTAACTCGTGCTTTCGAAGCCACGGAGTGTATGTACTCCCCCTTCTGGGACACCTATTGACATCTCAAGCCCAGCAATGTTCGTTGTCTGTGTGTATATATATATATAGTTTTCTTCTGCCTTTCTATGGGCCTTCGTTGCTCGAAATTGCTTCACAATTCAGTTATATTGGCGCATGAGTTGTGGCTGGCCCCCAGGGTCCCTGAGGTGAGGCTGCAGTTCATTGCTAGAAGCAGCAAGAGCGACTGTGATGAGCAATTAGCCACAAATGGAAGTGGAATTACTTTGTTGCTTTGGATCAATTCATAGCTTACCGCCAAAGACAGAAGACCCCCTGCATAGCAGCGAGGCAGGGCTGTTGTTCCGGGCCCGAGTCCCAGTTGAGGGGCTGCAGAGGCTTAATAGAAAAAATCAGGAAGTTAATTTCGTTCGAAACGAACTGTTTTTGTTGGCGGGTTTGCGGTGTACGTACACCTGAACTCGGCGCACCCTGAGCATGCGGCCGCGTGGTTGAGGGGCTGGCAGGGGTTGCGGCTGGAGTTGTGGGAGTGGAGTTTTTCTTTTTTGCGAGTCTGAATAATTTAGGAAATAGTGACGAAGAGGATAATTTGGAATCGGGTGGGTGGCGGCGAAGTCCCAGAGCCCCGCGCCCGCTGCGCCTCGGCCTCCGTTCTTCTGCGAACGCCCGGCTCCCGCGACGCCACACATTGCTGCTGCTGCTTCTTTTTGCAGAAACTCTTTTTAGTTTTGCTTTTTTTGTTTATAATTTCCAGTTGTTGCGTTGCTTCCGCCCTGCCTGGCCACGGCAGCGCCGCAGCATGATGCTGGTGCCCAAGCGCATTCAAAAGGAAACACACAACCTTGCCAGCGAGCCCCGTAAGCCCCGCCTTGCTGCGCTGCTGCAGCGTCAGGAGCTGCAGCGCCTCGCTAGGTAGCCGCAGGCTGTGCAGCTTCTTAGAAGACGCGGAGACAGCGGTGCAGCGCGGCAGTTGCTGCAGACCTGTGCTGCTGCTGCTGCAGTTGCTACAGCGGGCGAGCTGCGCATGCGGCGGCCCGGCGCAGGAGCAGCAGCGGCGCGGGGCAGCGCGCCGGCCGGGCGCAGCGCAGCGGGAGCGCTGCAGCCGGCTCCGCAGCAGCTGCAGCAAACCCTTGCAGCTGCTGCTGCTGCTGCTGCTTGTCTTTGCATGCAGCCCCGGGGATCGAGGCCGCCCCAGACCCCTCCAACTACCGCTACTTCAAAATCATAATGACGGGGCCTGCAGGGACTCCCTACGAGGGTGCGTGTGGGGCCACGGCCAAGCCATTTATGCCATTAATGCCATTTAAAATAATCACAGTAATTAAAATACTTCAGCGCTAGTGGCAGCTGAAGCAGCAGCAGCAGCGCGCTTCGAAGGGGGCCACAAGTCCTGCTAAATTGCCTTACATGCGTTTGCAAGTGTTTTTGTCTTTGCCATTTTTATTTTTATTTCCCTTCTGTCTTTGCTGACGGCCAGGCGGCCGCTACCGCCTCGAATTGTTTTTGCCCGAGCAGTACCCCATGGAGCCCCCCAAAGTCCGCTTCCTCACCAAGATTTACCACCCCAACATAGTGCGCCGCCGCCGCCGCTGCTGCTGCTGCTGCTGCTGCTGCTGCTCTTGCTGCTCTTGCTGCTGCTGCTGCTGCTGCTGCTGCTCTCTTGCTGCTCTTGCTGCCCTTGCTGCTCTTGCTGCTGCTGCTGCTGCTGCTCTTGCTGCTCTTGCTGCTCTTGCTGCTCTTGCTGCTCTTGCTGCTGCTGCTGCTGCTCTTGCTGCTCTTGCTGCTCTTGCTGCTCTTGCTGCTGCTGCTGCTGCTGCTGCTGCTGAAACGTCTTTGTTCGTTTGGTTTTGCTGCTGCAGGATGCGCTGGGCCGCATTTGCCTGGACATTTTAAAAGACAAGTGGAGCCCCGCACTTCAAATCCGAACAGTTTTGCTTTCTGTTCAAGCTTTGCTTTCCGCCCCAGAGCCCGACGACCCCCTCGACACCCGCGTGGCCGATCATTTCAAGAACGACCGCCAGGCAGCAGAAGAAAGAGGTGAGAACGCGCCGCTGCGAAAGCTGCAGCACAGCTGCTGCAGCACAACTGCTGCAGCGCAGCAGCAGCTGCCAGCAGCCGCTGCGCAGCAGCTGCAGCGCAGCAGCTGCTGCACAAGAGCTTCGCCCAGCTGCAGAGCAGCAGCTGCAGCAGGGCAGCAGCAGGCTGCTGCAGCAGAACAGCTGGGGGCAGCTGCAGCAGAACGGCTGCAGCAGAGCAGCTGCGCCCAGCAGCAGCAGAGCTGCTGCGCCCAGCAGCAGCACAGCAGCTGTGTGCAGCTGCAGCAAAGCAGCTGTGGGGGTTCCTCTGGCGCCAGTTTCTTTTTGGTTTGCTGTTGTCGTGTGCGCTTTAGCACGGCAGTGGAGGGAGATGTACGCTGGGGATGAGACAATAACGCTGGACTAGAAAAAGGGGAATAAAATAAAAGTGGAGAAGAAATGAGCCGCCATATAAGACATGCGGAGCGACCTGCGGAGGAGGTGTTCCCTTGCAGTGTACGTACACCGCAACTTTTGTTAGCTGCAGCTGCTGCAGCGCAGGCTGGTTGTTGCTTCCTAGAAAGGCAAAAGCGTCTTGGCCGCAGATGTCCAGATAGCAGATTCTGCGGACTTCACCGCGACAAGCAAACAGTACAATTACGGCATATGTGAAATATATAAAACAAAAGGATATGGGTCTCGGTAGTGTGATATAGTGTGGTGTTTGATTCCAGTACTAGACTAGAATGGGGTCGAAGCACCGCGTTTCTCTTTGGGCTCAGGATGGAGTCGCCCACCAAATAGATTTACTGTTAGTCTCAATACTATTAGTCTAAAGCATACATGTTTCGCTGCGGGGTCTGTTGTCTTGTTCTCCCCTCATGTAGTTCTAGGTGCGTTGTCTGTGCCGAGAGTTTTTGATTGTTCGGAAGAATATTCACCAGTAAATCCATTGGTACAATACTAAGAGCAAATTAAAAAGCGTTTTATGTAGAATATTATCAAGTTTTAATAGATTATTATGCACACAGTAGAAAACAGTCGAGCAGAGCAGATCGAAGGCTGCACACGCGCACCGGGCGAGCGCTTCGCCTTCCGCTACTGTGTCGTGCAGACGCAGTGACTTCGTGGGGGCCGCATGCAAGCAGCTGAACTCCGTAATTTTCTTCGACGAGTGCAGCAGTGACTACGCGGCAACTGCTGGACAGCTGCATGCAGCATGCGCCGCCTTCAATTGCAGCATTGCGGGCTCCGCGGTGCAGCGCGTTGAGCAACTTCAGTGTCTACGGAAACAGAATCTACACGTTTGATGCCTACAGTCAAGCAATGGCAGCACCACTTTGTCTTCTGAGAAGAGAAGGCTTGTCACTGTGTCTGTCTAGTACTTTCTGCTCAATTCTTGTTTTCCTACGCAGCAGCATGCTTGCTGTCGCTGTGCGTCGCTCTTTCGCAACTTAATCTACTCTATTTGCTCTATTATGGGCGTTATATTACTAGATATATTGCAGGAAACTTTCCCAAACTGGTACAGGATTAGAAATTGCAATGGTTCTCACTGTTCAGCAGTAACTGTTTCCATGAGCACTAAAGCTGCACCTGTACACACGTAGATGGGAATACATCCGTCTACATTGCAGTTTACACCTTAGTGCGTAAAATTAGACAAATGGGAGAGCAATGGAGCCACAAATAAACTGATGGCACTCCTGAACGCCTGCCCCCAGTATCCAAGAGCCACGTTCCCCCCCCCCCGCCCCCCAACTGCCGGGGCAATATATACTCCAAGTACAGCCAAGCTCTGATGCTTGGCTGCGAAGAGTCACTAAGGGCTTTAAATTTGTGGCCTGTAGCGCCATCGAACCCTTAGTTTCATTGGTGAATGAACCTCAAGCAACAAACCACGATGTACACTTAAACTGAATCAACGAAGAAGCCAAGAGCTGGCTCCGGCGCTGCGGGCTCCCCTAACTGTTCCTAGGCAGCCGCTCACTTACTGCTTATTGCTGATTAGCTGTTCAAGAGCTGCTGTTGATTCACGTTGTTCACTTCTGGGTGGTGAGTTGCAGCTTGGCGCTCTGGTCCGGGACAAGGAAGGCGCAAATGAGACTCAGGAGGGTGCAGAGGAAGGTGAAGGCGCTGGCGATGATGCCGACGACGCCGGAGTAGCCAATTTGGCCAAAGAGAGCCAACATGAAGTTCCAGACAAAGAAGTGGGCGTAGGTCTTGCACATCCAGCCCAAATTGAACTCCCCAAAGTGGCAGAAAATGGAAATCATACCCATCACAAACGGGGTCCATATATCGACGAACACGTCGGGAATAAACGAGAACATAGCTATGCGCCAGGAGTCACGGTTATAGTCCTTGGTGAAACTGTCTTCATACACAACGACGCGGGGAGACACAGCAGGCATCAGAAAGAAGAACACAATAATAGACAACACGCCACAGGCAAAACCCATCCAGCTCGTGACACGAGCCAGCGTCTGCTTCGCGTCTCCCATCTTCAACGGATATTTTTTGCGTGAATGTTGGAGAAGGACCTAAAACAAAACAACCAGTATCATGAGACGCGCAAGGCTCCACTCTACATACAGCGACTATTGTGCATGGCACAGTAGCTCCTCCCAAATCATCCGAATACGAATACACGCTCAATTAAAAAGTCGACAACCAAAACATATAGCTCCTTTAGAAAAGCAGGGCAGTGAATGGTGACCATCTGTGTGACGCAGCACTGCCCGTTCTCGATAAGGTCGGCCTACGCCCATGACCCAATAGCCCAACACAACAGAACCATAGACTTCCAATTGGATTTCCATGTAGTGGCTGCAGGGAATGAACAAATCTTGCTTACTGTATGCAGTCGAAGCTTATTAGTTAAGCCTGAATCTTCCGCAGTTCAAGACTCCAAGCCGGCTTGACTCAATGCGCTATGCAGCGCACGAACAGATGTGGGCGTGAGTTTAACTGAATAGTAGATTAAGATTTCTTCTCAAACCTACAAAGCCATAATTATGAAGTGCAATCTTGGCGGAGTATGCAACAGCTGTGTTCATGATCGGCTGCAGGCCGCCGCTGTTGGGGAACCAATGGTGTGTCAGCGCTTGCTGCTCGGTAGCACTCAGCACCCAGCTTCAGCTTCCGTCGGCACATCGACCTTACGTGCTATTTCTCATTGTATTTTAATTGGTTTGCTTAATTTCACACTTTTGCATCGTAATTTGCTCTACATGTTGCTGGAGGCCTTTGCGGGCCGCCCAATGTTCCCAGCGGCGCCGGTCGCTGTCTAGCTGTTGAGTGCAGTCCCCTGGACTTGAGAACACACAGAGTCTAGTTCCGGGGAAAAGGTGAACGTAATTTACTTTAGTATATTTATGGTGGTGCGCAGACGACGCGGCTCTCAAATGATCAACGCAAACGTGAGGCAGGGGAAGAATTCACAACTGCTTCGAGCACAATGCGCATCCCATCGATTGCAAAATTTGAGAAAATTAGTTCCGGTCAAGGAAAAAAATGCATAGTGCAACTAATTCTTCCCGTACAAATAGATTGCCTAAGGCTGCCAAAAATTGGTGTCATGAAGTGCATAGGCGACGCATATGATGTATAATAATGCTTTATTGGCCTGTATCAAGTCGAACACAAACTAATTGAAACTACCTAATTGAAACTAAAGAAAAAGGGGGCGCTGAGGAGGGTCTCCGAACATCCAAAGCTGGAATGGGATCAGGCGGGCCTGGCTTCCCACATTGGTAAGGCACACCGCACCAATCAAGTACCGTGCCTCCACCAAATCCATGTTGCATTTTCTTGGCTAAGAGCAGCGGACTCTCAGAAACGGAACACCCCATGAAAGTGCGCAAACGAATCCGTGGACTGGCCGCGCCCAGCAGGCAGCTTCACTCTCATGAATGCGTTTCAAAATACCCCCAGGCTTCGAAACGCATAGAAATCTGCCTGAGTATGTTATGCATCGACAAAAAAGTAAAATGTGACATTCAATGCTGCGAACATATGGTACAAAGGATGATGAAGCCGTGGAAATGGTAGTAGTTTGAAGTCCTGGAAATGCCAGTAGTTTCATTAACGGGCTGGAGAAAACAGCTGGCATGAATTACTAAATTCAAGGTCACATCCCTTAGCTCTTCAGCTGCGAAACACGGGAGCAAAGCCACGAACAGACGCTGTGAGTCTCAATACAGGCGTCATTCATATTTTTCACTTCCATCATTTTGAGAATCATCCTTTGATTTGTATGTTCTAGTGCAACGTGGAGGTTCTGCATTCCCGACGCGCTGAGTACCCAATACGCTCACCCTATTAAAGAAGACGCCGGCGAAATATGGACTATATTTAGCTGAATCCGCATTATTTGAAGGCATATTCACAAAGCTTAACATTCTTTGAAGATTCATGCTTCTGCCGGCACGAAGTTGCTCCTAAATTTCTAGCAGGAACTCACTTCTACACGCTTCGCAGAAACTCTGACCTAGCAAAATTTGAGAGATATTTATCTTTAATGAATCACGCCTTGATGTGGCTCTGCGCCTCTATTAAGTATCCCTTCGCAACAGGCCCTGGGTATCCACAGACTACACTTAACAGTAGGTCGGCGGTAGTCATACTCACAAAAAGCAAGGGCGAGAGCTGCTCATCCATCTGCCTAGTATTTACTGCAAGGCACGGAATTTACTAGAAGTAATTATGTTCAAAATTCAGGCTAAACTGCTGCAGGATTGCGTAGCTTATCGCATGATTCGGCACCAAATATCGTCCACCTGTCCTTCATGCACGAGTAGGTATCCAGTAAAAAATTGCCATACAAGAGTAGACCTGCTTTGGCTGGCTTCCTCAAAATTCAAAATGGACTGGTTGTAGCAAGCCACTGACTAGTTTTCCGGAGCGAGCACGTCTCGCTCACAGACTAGACGCTCCAGTGTTCGTCTCCTCATGCGCAAGCCACTTGATACACGAAATTTCTCATTTTATCCACATTCTATCCCCAACGAAGAGTGCGCAGTTGAAGCATGCTTCTTAAAATACTACTGAAGTGGCTAGTCTGGCCTGCAGATACACTCTTCGCATATGATGATGGCGGGTGCCTCCATCTATACAGGACTAAATCAGCAAAGATTTCGCGACGTGTGGGTACTTGGTGGCCAATGGTGACTATATTAATCAGACGCTTTCTGGATATAGTCACAGCTTGCAGGATGCAAGATCTGCCAGATGAAAGAATAACGAAAACCTGGCTAAAACAGGGCAGACGCAATTGTCCAATAAGCAAACAAAATACACCTAAGGCGTAGCGGGTCCCCTCACAGCTTCATGAATTTCATCGCTAGGCTATGGGGAAAAGCAATTTCATGTGCTCCTACTCACAGAAGCATTGTTCCCGTTGAAGCTTTCCCCCAGATTTTGTCC